AAATGACGATCAATAGGAGTATTTATTGATTTAATGTTTAACGTTTGACTACCTCGTTGGCCGACTGGTCGTAAGTGCGACTGCCGGGCAAGGGGTCTCGGGTTCGAATCTTGGGTCGGACAAAATATTACTGGGTTTTAAAATACTCTCAGTAGTAGCACGGAGTCTGGAATTGTGCCCGGTATATGGCAATAGGCTCACCCCCTATTACATGGGACTCATATCATAAATAGTGAAAAGTGGGTGTTACATTGTACAGTGGCATAATGTGCACCTCTGCCTACGGGGATAATAGACGTGATGTTATGTTATGATGTTATGTTTTACGCTCGAATACTGAAAGTTTAACAATTTTAAGTTGTATCTACTTAAATATCGTGCCGTCTCTGTCATTTTACAAAGAATTTGTAGAGACAGAACTATAGTTAAGCTCGACTTCAACTTGAGTGGCGTTTGAGTATTTCGACATTAGTTTCGTAACTTAAGTTTAATCTTGTTATTAGTAAAGGGATAATCTAAGACCTTAGAGAATATTAATAGATTCGGTAGATATCGTTTTAGACTCTTTGCAAAGGGCAAGAATTGAAAAGCAATTCTATGTTTATAATCAATATCTAATGCAACAAAAAAAATCATTATGGAGCATTAAAAAACAATCATATTAACTAATAACTTTAAAAATCGAACTACAAAAAGCACTATCCACCAAAATGTATGAAAATAATGAGTAAGTATTTAGATATTAATCTTAGTTTTCTATTTTCCACAGACGAGGTTCTACGAATACCTCCCTACAATGATATTTGGGGGTATGGCCGCATTATCAGGATTCCTAGTCCTCACATTACCAGAGACAAACAACCTTAAGCTACCTGACTCCTTGAAAGAAGCTCAGGATCAAGACAGAAGAAAAGAAATTGAGGACACAGTTGAAAGAACCGTTGAAAGAACAAACACAACCACAGATAACAAAACTAGGTTATAATTTTTTTTTAAGTAATCTAAGTTAGGTAATTTTGAAATTTTGAGCCAAAGGAGAAAAGTTGGAACAAAATATTGAACTAAAAATATTTTTTGGTTATGCTAACTATAGGCCGTCGAATACATTACCTCTGCCAGAAAAAAAAAGTTTGTCAAATTAAGGGCCTGTTTCACTAATGTTTTTACGCTTTTAGTTACAGGGTATGTGTGGATAATTTAATCTTGATTTTATTTAAAATATGGAAACACTCAAGCTGGTTGTGAATTCGATTTGACATTTTATTGTAGAAGAGCTTATAATGCCGTAGTAGTATTAAATTTTTTTCTCACGTGGCAGCATTACTTGAAATTATTTACTGCAGTGAAACAGGTAAGTCTTCAAATGATTAAGACTGATGCATGTAATACATATTATATTGTTATACAAATTACATTATAGTACAGTTAATGTTTCAGTTATACTTTTTGAAGGCAAAAATATTTAAAATAAGTACGCATATATAGATTAAAGATGAGGTCGACCGTAAAAACAAATACCTAATAATGTTGACAATTAAATAAAACTGGGTGTTCCAATTAAGATACCTTTACAATAGTATTATTATAATGAGATCTTAATAGAAATGTAATGTCAGTAGCACTTTCCATAACTCTATGACCTATTATTGTTTGAATGTTACAATTAAATGACAGGGCATAGTGCATACATAATTAAGTTTTAATTAATTAGCAAGGCTTGTGATTATTAATATTAGATTCCATATCGGATGTAAGACAACTTTGATTAGTTAGAACTAATGAAAACTTACAAAGTCAATATTAATTCCTTTTAAAGTAATACTACGGTGTAGTAATATAATAGATATTAATAGTCTCTTCACTATTTTTTTTTTGTTATAAAATATTCTCTCTATGTTAAAGCTAGATTTCTCATTGCTCATAAAAATGGTACAAAAATGTATTTTTTTTAATTTAAGAAATATGTTCAATGTACAAAATACAAAGCAAGCGTAAACATGTAGGTACATAATAATTTTAGTTAGATAGTAAGGCAGATAGTATACTATTAACTCGTCGAGTACCGTCATTATCGACACAATTATAGAACAATAGGCTGCGGTCACCGGTGACCGCTTGGTGTTTGACAGTTTAAACACATTATTATAAGCGAACACAAATACTATTAAAAGAAAAATTGAAGTGATTTTTTGTCTCGTCTCAAATTAATTATATTTTTCTTTAAGTAAATTATTATTGGAGCTTTATTTTGATAATTATGTATTAAATAAAAATAATGTGTAAATTACCGTGATACCAGAATAAAATAAGTTTTATTTTTATTTCTATTGTTTTCTTCATATAATGATTTTATTAATACTAATACTTCTGCAAAATTAATATTTGCACGCCATTACATTTATAGATATTATGAAATTATTAATATATAACACTTAAAATATAAATAATTTAAAAGTAAAATTTTTACACCTTAAAAAATAATAATAAAAATACCTCTATATCATAAGGCATCAACGAAATAATAAAAAATAAATAAATTCATAAATAAATAAAAAAATTAAAATAATAGTTTAGAAATTCATCTTCTTCATATTAATTTATTATGTATTTAACTTAGTAATTTTAAAAACGGGTAGTGAAACCAAACCTTAAAAACTATGGCATTTTTTTCTGTTATTATCTCTGTTCGTAATTCAGAAGAAAATGTTGCCCTACAAAATATGTAAAACAAATATAAAGTGAATATCTGGGTAAATTCATTCAGTACCTAGAATTTTTCGGCGGCTTAAAAATAAATAAAACTGGGCAAACGATAAAACCCAAACGGTTCACGTCCGAGTTTTAATTTGAAAAACGGATTAAAAACTGACGTATTACCCATGGTTCGCGTGTTGGAACCAACGTTGGATCAACATTGGCTTTTGAAATTACGAACATGTTTAGACTTTCCAACTTTGAATAAAAATTTACATAATAGATTAAATACAACGCTATTTATATGAAATATTTTCATTAAACCTGTAGGTAGGTACGTCTTTTATAAATGGATAAAATATCACTTTTCATATTTTCTTTTTTTATTTCAGGTAATTAATACTTACGTAAATAATTTCAAAATAATATTGTTATTTTTTTTAATCTCATGTATTCAATGGCCCAAATAAATCGCACACTCTAACCAATAATTCGACCACAACTCTAAAAAAATGTAATCAAACAAAATATTTTCCTCCAAAAAAAAAATTGCCGCCAACGTTTCGCGCCAATAGCGCGCCATTTTTTTTAAACGTCCCATTCCACGGTCCTTTGCATCTAACGGGAGCGTTCATTGTAATTATGCGTTTACTACGTGATCCCATTTCGTTGGACGTGACTGCGTGGACTAAGGAATATTATAAATATAAAAAAAGTCTATTAATTTTACAGATAGCCTTTTAGATAAGCTATAGATAACGAATGATTTTTTTAAATCACGTTTTTTTCTGTATGTTTGATTAATTTTGCAATACATCGAAGAATGTTTTTTTTTATTTGTAGGGGCAAGCTTAATCGAGTTAAGGTTCGTTCCTGGACCACTAACCCATAATCCACTACAGCTAGCCTATGCTGAAACTGTCAATTCGAACTTTTGAAGTGAGTTCGATTGCATTCTCGCCAGTCATTGGTCAAAATAATTCTCACAACCAATAACACGGCAGACCACGATCTAGTTCACTTCATTCTTTCGAATTAAATGTTACAGAATATCTTAGCTGGACTTATGGGACTCTCTACATAAAAGAATTTGCTATAATATTCATATTTGGCAGGTGGATTGAAGATCGCAATCGCCAAGGTTTCTAGTTCTGATCTCTTCCAATTAAACAAACCCTTAGTATTACGATATATACCTAAGTATAAGAAGGGTATAAGTACCTACCATTCTGTCTCATCTGCCTCAACAAGCCTGTAAAGTTTCCATCCTAATAGATTCAAAGCACCACAAAGGTTCCCTATGGAATAGTTTTAAAAAGTCAAAGGTCGGCTAATAGCCAGCGGTAATTCCATATCGTACCGCCATAGCGTGGATGGCTAAAAAATTGGAACGTAAAAGTCCTTTGTATTTTTTTTTTTGTTGTCTTTGGTTTTAGTGGGTTACTTTTTTGGTTTATCTTTCAACGTATACCTACGAACGAAGCTATCACTACATCATCATCATCATCATCATCAGAATCTCATCATCAATTTTATGTATATACCTCTATAGTTTGAGAATCAATTGCATGATGGCAAAACACTTAGTCATTATGCAATTATTCCTCAAAAACCTGTTTCTATTTATTATTTCTCTATCTTTTAAATACTAATTTATTAATCCTCTTGTAATAAACATCGAGCATAAACCCAAGTCTCGTGATATTGTTGAGATTTAAAAAAACAATCAGTACGATTTATTGTCTGTGTATCGATCTCTAATAGCGAGTATAGAGGTGAGACCACACGACTAAAAACACATTATAAATTCTTTTTTTAAATAAATCTACTTGTTATTCTTCCTCACCTGAACAATACACGGTAAACAAACTATCGATATCATAAACTAACCTCAAACTTAGACAATATTCAACAAAAAAGTTTATCCGTAAACAAATCTAATATCCCTATTTAGATTTACAGTTTCGGGTAAAAAACTGGCAACACTCGGTCAAAGGGCAAACGTTATTCGGGTAAAAACAATTTGTAAGTTTTTGTTAGAGAACCCTTGGGCCCTTTTGGCTGAATACATGAATACGTTAGCCTGAAAATGCCCTTTATGATAGCTATGGTTTTTCACAAAGCGCGTCGGGTTAAACTCTATAATGTATGAGCGATTGTATGAGGAAACTTCAGAACTGTGGTACTGTTTTCGTTAAACAACCAGTTGGTTAAATCTTATTTGGTTAATATGGAATGCTTTTTGAAGTAAGTAATAAAGCGGATAGTTGTACGTGATACTTGTTGAAATTATAATAATCATCATTAACAGCCTATAAGTGCCCACTGCTGAGCAAAAGCCTTTTCTCACAAGAAGGTTTAGTTCATTAAATTACTTAATTCATTTTTTTATTTAGGTATATTAAGTTTTTCTTATTAACATTAAACTAAATATTAACTATAAAATACCTATTAAATATATAAACGAAATAATAATGACATGGCTAAAGTATTGACAACATAAATTAAATTAATATTATATACCTATAAGAAAACATATAAAAATAAGAAAATGAAAGAAAAAAAGCATATTGAAATTTCGTTAGGTCGAAATGGAAACATAAAAATACTTCTCCCTAATATTTTGTAACCAACTATGCAATTGCAATGGCAACTATCTGGAATGTCCTCTCACTATCAATAGGTATAAAAAATTAAACAAAGCCTCCTGGTACCAATATCTATTTACGCAACTTACATAGTCTATTTTAGGTACCCACAATGGCTTCTACACAGGTTACGATTGATTACAGTCCTCCACGCCGTGACGCGGGTAAATTATAGCCACTGCATCGATGGCCGGCAAAAAAAGTGAACATATAACCCAGATACGTGAACGCAACATTTTATTGTCATGTTGGTACCTATGTAGATGTAATGTTTTAGTTGAACCTACGTGATGATGGTAGAAAAAGTTTTGAATTTCGAACGTATTTTTTTTTGTTTAAGTAATAATTTATTTTTAAATCTTTGTTATAGGGGCGTACTCATAAAGCTCTGTAGACATTATTTTCTAGGATTTGTATACTACACTTTTCTCTCATTTTGTAAATCCTATCGCCATCATCAGGCAGAAGTCCAGCCTCTATGAAATAAAAAGGTATTAAAATATCAAACCCAAATACTGTTATTGTAAACTATGCCAATGCTCAATTACCTAAGGATCCCTATAAGCTATAGTCTAATGACCTCATCTACCCTGGGCCCGGATAGTCTCAAAGTCACTACAATTCATCTTACTAATCCAAACGTCTCAAAGTGATGGATAGTGGACCATTTCCTCCACCACCAAAACGGTTTGTCTCTGCAGTTCAAGAAGTAGCCTTGATTTGAAATTAGTTACCTGAAACACATAATAGATACAAGTTCAATTCTTCAGAATTCTTTAATTCTCAAAAGAATTAAACTGTCAAACACCAAGCGGTCACCGGTGACCGCAACATAAATATATATTGTGTCTACAAAACCGGTACTCGACGAGTTAAATATATTTTAAATCTTTAATAATAATCTTTTATAACGCTTCGGCACGAATGTCTTCGCTCGACTGGACTGATACCACGGCCTCACAGAAAACCGATGTAAAACAACGCTTGACTCAACAATCTCAAACAATCCTCAAATTCCTAATCCCCAAAAAGCCGGTAACGCACTTGTAACGCCTCTAGTGTTTCAGGTGTCCATGAGCGGCGCCGATTGCTTACCATCCATCCATCAGGTGATCCGTCTGCTCGTTTACTGACTTATCCCATAAAAATATGCCGTCAAATAGGGATTTGATGTAGACAGGGGTTGAAAATATTTCTAAGGATTCGTAATTTAAAACCGGACAATCCAGCAGCTGTAGCCAAATGCCATTTAGCGCTTGTCTACATATAGAATAAAAAACCAAATTATATGGAATTGACGCAAATTTTGACACTTGTCAGTGGCATCTCCATACATTTTGATTTCTACTCTCTGTAGACAACCCACTGATATGATAAGAGTATGGATAAGAAACAACTAGGAAAAAATCGTGCCTACATAAACTTCACTTGGTCACCTGTAATGGCGGATAGAACTAGGGATACTAACTTTTAAAACTGTAGAAATATCGATATTTTAGAATTGGTTTTAATTGACTTATCAATAAAATATCATTATTTTATGATTCATCTGGATTTAATTTTTATCTAGCTGCTAAACATTACCAAGATATTTGCGAAATATATTTAGTAGTTGCTGCGTGCACTGTCACTCCAGTCGATCGTGCCTATACATTCACATCATAACTTTCACGATACTTATGTATCGAAATTCATGAAAAGGATTTTCCATCAACTGGTCAATATTTATATACTTAAGGTTAAGTAATTTTTGAGGGTTGAAAAATAAAACTGTATCAAAGTATTCATAAAATCAAGATTTATAATATACAATATCTTCGTATTTTTCGTAGTGTTTCCCTGTAATGTAATCTGCAAAACTATCTTTCGAGAAGACTCCAGAACTGGTTCCAA